GCATTATATATATGCCTAGCAAAAAGAAAAATCTAGATCTAGGGTCTGAAAGGATTTAGAATTTGTATAATGTCTGTATAGGTTGGGTTAACTAAACAGTGAGATCATGGACAGTGGGTTAGTTTCCTTAATGCCGATGATCAAATTTAGTTTCCTTTAAACCACATTGGTGATAATTTTTGGCAAATAACAAAATATAGTAGGTTAACTTTAAGTGAACAAAGTCTTTCTGGAGCAATCATAATCTAACAACTACTACTTCCTATGACAGGCCTACCCTGAGCGTGTGTATGTGAACAGCATGGGACCTCTTGGAGACGGGGGTCAGTTTTTGGTACTTACAATAATCAAGTTTGCTTTTCCATTCAATAATTCTCCAATCCCAGTAACAATAGCCCTTGAGTCCATGCCCCCTACTCTTCTTCTTCTTCTTCTTCTTCTTCTTCTTCTTCTTCTTCTTCTTCTTCTTCTTCTTCTTCTTCTTTTGATATATATAATATGGTCATTTCAGAGGATGGGAATAAGGGCAGAGCTTTATAAGACACCAGACTAGCCTTGGATCCTGGCACCACCACAGAATACTTTTTGAGAACATCAAACACACACTCTCCAACATATTTCTCCAAAGGGAACATCTCACATGATGTTCTGCTCTCTGCATCCATCTACACGTCCACAGACTGAGAGGTGAGAAGTGAAGATATAAGGGAAAACCAAGAGGACTTGGAGAAATGATGTTAACATTAAGTGACAAGTGTACGTGAGAATGAGATTGGATGACACACTGTGCAAATCTTGATTGTCATGTTTGGATCCAGGCTAACTAAATAAATTACAAGAAGTAGAACATATTTTGAGATACATTCAAAGCAAATCACATCAACTCATTTACCTCATAAAACTTAGGACCAAAGAAAGTGGAAGTATTCAATTTGATTGGGCATAATGTAAGGAGAGGATCCCAAATGTCCTTACTATCCCCAAGGAAGAACTTGCTAGGACATCACCTCTTCAGATAATGGAGTCTTTCAAGATTTTCCTCAGAATGGTCTTTGTGTCCTCAGCAACTATTTTAAGGAAGTGGCTCTGACGCCATCTCAGGTAGTAGATACTAGTATAACCTACAATTGGGATGTTGCTCAGAATTGAATATAAGTAAGAGGCTGTATTACAGTTCATCCAAGATAATGCCCAGTTCTCTGTGAGGACCGTGGGCAGATCCCGAGACTTCATAGTGGCCTTGTACTCCTCCATGGGTTTTCCCAGACTCTGGGCGACCTGCTGGAGAGAGTTATCATCCACATGAAAGAGCAAGCGGTAGGCATATAAACACTCCTGAGGATCATCTGCATTCTGGATACCAAGGGTGTTCTGGAGAGACTCTGAGCCTATTTGCCCTTGCCAAGTGGTCACTTTGTCATTAATGACCTTCTCACAGATGAGGGATAGGTTCTCTAGGGGATCATGGCACCTGAAGTCAAAGACGTCCCTGTGCAAGGTGTCCCTAAGCTCTGGGAAGTCATGCAATAATGGATAGAAGCTTGAGACCAGGAATATGATGGGTTCACACACACCCTCCCCCTGGAGAGTTTTCCGGATATTGTCCCGAATATTCTGCAGGAGTTGTTTCTCTGAGAGAATACGTGTGCTGAGGTCCCTATCCAGCTTGGTCCAGACAATGTAGAACCTCTTTCCCAAACCGTGGATGGTTTTGGCAAGTTTCACGAGATTCGTGCTGAACTGTTCAGATGCAATGATGATGAAAAGGTCATACTGGCTAAACTGCATCTCCTCCAGATAGTTGTCCAGGCTTTGCATGGCAGCCCCTGTGCCAGGCAGGTCCCACAGTGCCACATTGGGAAAGAGAGAGCAAGTGTAAGAAGTGGGAGTCTGAGTGGTCTGCACTACCCCAGTGGGAGCTGAGTCCTCCTCCTCATGCCCAATTCCCCGCAGTGCATTGATGAAGGAGGACATTCCATTACCAGAATCCCCAGTCACAGCAATGCTCACTGGGGCACTGGACACTGTCTTCATGGTTTTCCTGACCACAGAGATCACCTCCAGCCAATTCCCTTCTCCCACGGCCTTTTCTATGTTCATGGCACTCATTTCAGATACGACGCTGCAATCCATATTGTATTGCACATCAGAGGTGAAGGATATAGGTATTGGGGTGTGAGGGAATTGGGCAGGTTGAGTCATGCTGCTGAGCAGTAAGTGACCTGTAGAAAAGGGAAGAGCAGGAGAGTTAGAGCCAGGCACACACGGGGGCAGAGGAGACATCGGACTTGGTATCCCAAACTGAGGGTGTCAGATCCACACCCAACTCACTGCAGAGGCATCCAGATTAGAAACAGCATGCCTCTGCAAAAAACGTTTGACAGTTTCTCAAAAGCTTACACATACTAAACAACCATAGAAAACGAGGAAATCCTACCATTTGTGACAACATAGATGGTCCTTGAAAGCATCATGATAAGTAAAATAAATCAGGCAAAGACAAAAACAGCATGATCTAACTGAGGTGTGGAATCTTAAAATACAATAATAAGTAATATAAAATAGAATAAAATATTAAAATAAAATTCACAGAACGAGATCAAACTTGTGGAGAGGCAGAGGCACAGTGTGAGAGGAGGGTAGTTGCAGGACATGGTCAAGATAAATAATATTCCAGTTATAAGGTAAGTAAGTACATGGGATGTAATGTACTTACTACTTGATGACTATAGATAATAACATTGTAGGGGCATCTGGGTGGCTCAGTCAGTTTAGCGGCCGACTTGGGCCCAGGTCGTGATTATGAGCTCTAGCCCCAGGTTGGGCTCTGTGCTGACAGCTCACAGCCTGGAGCCTGCTTGGGATTCTGTGTCTACCTCTCTCTCTGTGCCTCCCCTGCCCTCTGCTTCTCTCTCTCTCTCTCTTTCTCAAAAATAAATAAACATTTAAAAAAAAATTTAAAGAGCTTATAAAATGCCCACATATTTGGTTAATAGTTCTTCCTCTAAATGTGAAAAAAGAATGTTGAGTGATAACAACGTTGTATAATTTATAGGAGAGTTGTTAAGGGAATAAATCCTAAGAGTTCTCATCACAAGAAAACCCGTTTTTTCTTCTTTCTTTTCTTTTTAGTGTATTTTTGTGAGATGATGGATTTGAGCTAAACTTATTGTGGTAATCATTTCAGTACATATGTAAATCACATCAACATACTGTATGTCTTGAACTTATACACTGAAATATGTCAACTGTTTTTTTTTCCCCAATAAAACTGGTGATATAAACAGTCACCAAATGACCCAGCAATTCCACTGCTAGGTATATACGCCAAAATGGTAACAATGTATATATCTATTTAAAGCCTACATGCATATATTCATAGTAGCATTATTTTTAATAGCCCTCAGGTAGACTTAACAAATGCACACCAACTGATCAATGGATAAAGAAACATGGTCTATCCATTCAAGAGAACAGTATTGGACAAGGAAAAGAAACACAGTATTGATATCTGCTACAATATGGAAGAACCCAAGAATTTTATTGTCAGTGAAAGAAGAAAACCCATTGGATCATGGACTGTATGATTGTATTCACATGAAATGTCCAGAATAGGCAAATTCTTAGCCATAGAAAATATATTGGGAATTTCCTAGATCTGAAGAGCAATGGTATGAGGGAAAAGAGACGTGGAAGTCAAGAGTTACAGGATATATTCTGGATAATGATAATGTTCTTTAATGTTTATTTTTGAGAGAGATGGGGGGGTAGAGGAGGAGCAGAGTGAGAGACAGAGACACAGAATCTGAGCTGTCAGCACACAGCATGATGCAGGGCTCAAACTCAGGAGCCATGAGATCATGACCTGAGCTGACGTTGGATGCTTAACCACCTGAGCCACCCAGGTGTCCCAAAATTGTTCTACATTTTATTATGATGAGCGTACAACTTTGTGAATATATTAAAAGCTAAAAATTTTAAATTTTAAAATTGAGTCATAGAATGTGTAAGTCATATCCCAATAAAGCTGTTGAAAAGAAAAGCAACAGAAAATGTTATTCAGATGTGCACATTTTAGGGCTCAGACAAGACCACTGAGGAATACTCTGCAGCTATGCAGTGCCAGTAGTCAGCACCAAAGCAGATTATGCACATAACTGGACTTAAGCCGCAGAGCATCATGTGGGTCGCTCAGTCAAGAGTCAGGCAGATGTAGGTACCCTTCCACCTTAACTGGATGAGCAGGATGTCTCGTGGGGATGAGGACAGAAGTAAGCATGTGACAACTCTCCATACCCTTCAGTCCTGAGGGCCCACACGTTCTCACTGCATATGTCCTTAGAGTCAAGAGTAATTTCATTATTTTTTATCACACTGAAGAGCACATTTTCTTTTCTCTAAAGACATTTTCCATGTCCTTTTCCACCACCGCATACCGAACAAAGCCCTGTCCCTTATTCACTTCAACATCCAAGTTAAACAACTTTCCAAATAATATCTCCCTGGGTTTTGGAAAATCACCATTATGTTTGTACATAATCGTTTCTCTTTGTCACTGGTGTTTTTATTATAATAAGTATTTGGATGCTACTGTGAAATTTCTCTGGTAAGCTTAGACTTGCAGTAAGATTGCAAATATTCTACAAGGCAGACTGGGTAAGAGAATTGGTTGGGATTACGTAGTGGACTCTCCTCCTGGGGGCTACACACACAGTGCTGACTGGTGTGTTTTTCCAGTCCACAAGTTATAACGGCTTGGTGTGGTAATTCCCCTTGATAAATCTAGTATCTCATACAAAAAGCATTTTTCACAGAGCCAAAACAAGTAATCCTAAAATTTCTATGCAGCCATAAAACCCCCAAATAGCCAGAGCAACCTTTGAAAAGAAAAGCAAACCTGGAGGGATCAGATTTGTAGTATACAAAGCTGTAGTGATCAAAACAGTATGGCACTTCTTGAACGTAGACTGTGTAGAAACCATTTTTCAAGTAACATCCTTCAATAAAGTGTGTACTATAAGCAAACAAACAAAAATCCAGGATGGCACTGGCGCAAAAACTGACGCATCCATCAATGGAACTGAATTAAACAACCAGACAGAAACCCAGAATTGTATGGCCCACGAATGTGGGACAACCAGGAAAGACCATGTAATGGGGAAAAGACAGTCCCTTCAACACATGGTGTTGGGAAAACTGGATGGCAACATGCCGAAGACTGAAACTGGGCCACTTTCTTACACCACGCACAAAAGTAAATTCAAACTGGATGAAAGACCTAAACGTGAGGTCAAACCTCTAGAAAATTCTAGAATAGATACATAAATAAAAATGTAAATAAATTCTAAAATTTAAAAAAATTCTAAAAGAGATAAAAAAAATTCTAGAAGAGAAAACAGTCAGTAACCTCTTTGACATCACTGTAGCAATGCCTTTCCAGATGTGGATCCTAAAGCAAGAGAAAGAAAAGGAAAATAACTGTTGGGTTTACATCAAAATAAAAGCTTCTGCATAGTGAAGGAAACAATCTACGAAACTAAAGGCAACATACAATGGGAGAAAATATTTTCAAATGACCTATCTAATAAAAGGCTATTCTCCAACATATATGTAGAACTTCTAAAACTCAACACCCAAGAAACAAATAATCCAATTGAAAACTGAGCAGTAGACACAAATACACCTTTTTCCAAAGAAAACATCTAGATAGTCAACGGACACATGAAAAGATGCGCATCATCACTTATCGTCAGGGAGATACAAATAAACACTACAATGAGATATCACCTCGCATCTTTCAGAATGGCCAAAGTCAACAACGGAAGAAACAATGGGTGCTGGTGAGCATACAGAAACTTGCACTGTCGGTGGGAATGCAAACTGTTGCACCCACTCTGGAAAACAGTGTGGAGGTTCTTCAAAAAGCTAAAAATTGAGAACTACCTTAAGATCCAGTAAAATGCCCTACTATGTATTTCCCCAAAGCATCAAAAAATACAGATTCAAAGGAGTATATGCACCCTGGTGTTTATAGCAGTGCCGTCTACACTAGCCAAACTATGGAAATTCTTCTATATATATATAATGTAATATTACTCAGGCAAAAAAAAAAAAAAAAAGAAGAAAGAAAGAAATCTTGCCATCTGCATCAGCATAGTTTGAGGTAGAGAGGATTATGCTAAGTGAACTAAGTCAGAGAAAGACAGATACCATATGATTTCACTCATATGTGGAAAACAAACAAAACGCAAAGGAACACAAAAGGACCCGGAGACACGATCCAAGAACCCAAGATTCTTAAGATTGAGAAGGAACTGATGCCAGAAGGAAGGTGGGTGGGGTGGGTTAAATAGAGGATCGGGATGAGGAGTGCACTTTGTTTTGATGAGCACCAGGTATTGTGTGGAAGTGTTGAACCACTACATTGTACACTGTATGTTAACGAACTTGAATTTAAAAACTTTTAAAAAATCTACTATCTCTATGTGCACATATAAAATTTTCAAACCTCTTATAATTCAAGACTGCCTCTTTGGCTGAGGAGTTTCCCTGTAGTTTTGTCTTCGGAAAAGTTTCATTCTCTACAGGTCCCGTAGAGCAGCTTCTTGTTCTCCTCCTCCACCCACCGTCACCCAGCTTTCCTCCCCACAGCTGGGTCCTGCTCGCATCACTGCTCCCTGGACTTCTGTGGGTGCTTTCATCCCCTATAAGGAAGGCCTGGACTCACTGTCTTCCATGAGGAAACTCCCCACCCAAGTTTGCAGACAGCTTTGCCTGGGGCAATGCCGGCATTTTCAGAAGGAAAACTGAGCCCCAGTGTTAACGCCAGGGAGGGTTTCATGGTATCATCCGGGTGAAGTTCTGGGCAGACCTCCTAGCAACCTCAGGGTGAATCTTCTCTGTTCTTATTAGGATCTCAGAGGAAGAACTTCTTTTTTTTAAAAAAAAAAAAAGGTTTTAACATTTTATTTTGAGAGAGAGAAAGTGTGAGTTGGGGAGGGACAGAGAAAGAGGGAGAGAGAGTATCCGAAGAGGGCACCCTGCTGTTAGCCCTAAGCCCAACCTAGGGCTCGATCCCATGAGCCAAGAGATCTTGACCTGAGCCAAAATCAAGACGCTCAACCAACGGAGCCACCCAGATGTCCCTCCTCTGGTTCTTCTTACTCCCTCCAGTTCTTACCACAGTGTTTGAAGACTCTGTTCTGTGAGTCTGCCTGAGCTGAGTCTTCTGCATGTCTTTTCTGGATTATTCCTCCCCAAGCTATGTTAGATAATTGATATGATTATTCCTGGTTATGGATGAAGAAACAGTATCTCACAGACAAGAAACAAGCTTGAAATTACAAAGCAGTGATGGAACCCAAGATTTACACCAATACTGTGATTCTCTGTTTCTGTCTGGACAGGAGGGAAAGATGATCCTAGTTAATACTGAATCTCCAGCCCCAAGGGCTGACGGATCACGGGATGCCAAGAATCTTCTCCTGGGGACGTGAGTCCACTTGCTGCTATCAACTGCCATTTAACCCACCCTGGATGAACCCTTCCTAATTTGGGGAGAGAACGGAAATCACAGTCCTCTCTCCCTTCCCATCCTCACTGCACATTAAAGAAAACTCATCGATTTGCATGTGTGAGTGATATTCCACAAAGTGTCCCCACTCCTGAGAACCTGTTGCTGGGAACACGGCGCTCATTGGGAGATAGAGAGACTTAACAAAATGATTGGGAGATTCTGGGAGTTCAGAGGAAAAGAGATGACGGGACTATGATGTGATCACCATCCCACCCTTTTGGGGACCAGAGTCCCATGGCACCTGTACCCATAAAGTCTTCAGTGTCTTGCACCAGGGACCTCTGTGACAAACTCAAAGTGCAATAGGTCAGCAAGAAAGGTGTCTCTTCTTCAGAGAGTGGAGGTGCACTTAGCTCAGTGTGGGGATGAATACTTCGATGGTGGGGCAGAACACACATGAGCAGAGCTGGCTAGAAGCCACAAAGATGGAGCACTGGCCTGGGTCAGACTGAGAGAACAGTTTGGAATGAGAACACTTAAGAATAGCCCTCTTTTGCCCCTGTGCTCAAAGCCTTCTTTAAGACCTCTCTTGACCATTCCAAACAATAGTCCAAGTTCTTCTTCATGGGGGGCAAGGAGGTTCCTGGACGCCTCAATTGCCATCCTGGCTCTAGGGAGGTAGTCTCCTGGGTGAGTTCCAGGCTCACTGGCTTTGTTGTACAAAGGGATTTTCTCTACCCCTGAACATGCTATGTGTTCTGCTTGCCCATAAGTTTGCCCCGAGAACGGAGTGAGGAGGTCTGGATGTCCTTATCAGCAGTCCTGTGGGGCCCAGGCCAACCAGAACGCAGGAATTGGGCTAGAGCCCTTGAGTCCTTCTCTTGTTTTGTCTAAATCCTGTCACAACCTCCACAGGTACCCGTCTCACTTTGACCTCTCTGTTGGGCCAATTTTTTAAAAGACTGTACCTTCAAAAGCTTAAAGTCCCAGAAATTATCGTTTTGTCACCTATTAGATGTCTGTATTACCAAATACACACACAGGTCTCGGCACTTAGATTAACTAATTTCCTAGACTCTGCCTGTTGTCCTTAGTGCCCAGCAGGTACGGGACACATTTCTGTCAGAAGAATGCACCAAAATATACTGTGTGTGCCCTACACTTAGTGACTGACAGATAAATTAACTTTGGTTCCTAAATATGTCTTCTGAAATGCCGAAGCCAGCTCCTCCATGCCCTTTGAAAAGCAAGTAAGGACCGGAGCATTGCATGAGTCCCTGCCCTAAGGAAGGTGTGGGAGGTGAGCACTCACCTACACTTTTCCAGACCATTTCTGTGACCATGTCTGGCCCAACCATGGAATTTGCACATGTGTGCTCACCTATGCACGTGTCTGAACACCTGTGCTGACTGAGAGGAAGCGGGGGGGATAATTGAGGCCCCATAGCTCCTGCCACAGCAACCTGTTCCCCATTACCTATTCATCTTGTGCCTGCCCTGCACCTGGTGCTAGACATCCCTGCACAGGGGGCCCTCCCAGGGTACTTTAAGGCAATACTGTGTTCACGTGTCACTGCCAGGCCAGGGCAGGATAAGGGTAACTCTATGAGAGGTTTCAGGGTCTTCCAGGAGTGGTCACTGAGCGTGTGTGTGAACCTGTAGGACATTGAGGCTCAGAGCACTGACCCAGAAGTTGAGGCAAGGCCATCAGAGATCAGTCTGGGATGCAAATGACCCCCTAGCCCCACTCTTTTGCAGATCGTACTCATGTTATACCTCTGATCTTCCCTCTATGGATGGGGTTTGAGGGTCCCGATGAAAGAAACATAGGCCTTTATGCAGTGAGCCCAGGGAGCGTAGTCAACTAGAGAGGGCGGTTGTGCTTGGAAAGAGAACCAGACTCTGTGAGCAGATCTTTCAAAATCTTCTGAAGGAGACCAGCAGTAAGAGATCCATTTCACAGAATAACTAAGTACCCACTCAACACAAACGCATCACCTGAAGAAAGATTTTACCAACAATTTGCCTACGCTCCATTTTGATCTACTATATCTATTCCAATGGGTAACGTTTTTGAACCCTTGTTACAATGCACCAGATAGATTTTAGGATCTAAGAAGCAGAATGAAAAACACCCATTCGTGGATTTCCCATGCAAGATCCTATACAGGTCATGCCATGCCCAATTGTCTTGAGCCATGAAGCAGGGATCAGCCTTGGACCAGACTGGAAATCTGAGTATCAATTATTTTTGTGAGCTTGTAACCAATGGGGACCAAGCCCCACATTTCCCCCACTTTATCGTCACAGGTAAAGGATGAAGGGGAAAAAATCAGCATATTGATTTAGATTAATAATCATCTGCATCATCAAAGGACATGAAACTCAAAAGAATCTGGTCTATGGAGATAGTGTTTGGAAAGCCCACCTCACTAAAATCATCTGTAAAGGTGGAGTCGGTGTCCAGCAATAGAAACTGTTTCTCCAATGTAGATACACATGTGTATTGTTATACATTGTCTAAGGTCTGTTGGACACCTTGTCCCTGAAACCCCACCCCAGTCCCTATTCCACAGAAGGTCCAGGCAGTGTTCCAGATAGACTCTCCCGATTGCCATTGTCTTGCTTCCTGCTGCACTCTAAGAGAATATGAAGGGCAAACCCTCCATCATTTTCCAAACATGGTCTCCGTCAGAAGACACCCAACGCTATGAACATGGAGGTGATAGGCACCTTGTCTCCACACCGAAGTGTTGCATGGGTTTAGAGCAGACCAAGAGTTAGTTGCTAAATTTTGGCCCTGAAAACTGTCAGAGAGGGGACCTGCTGTGTTTATTCATTAAAATGGATAAGCCAGTCCCCAAGCTCTCCTGCCCTGATGTCAGGCTCCACCTTCGATAGCTTCACATTAGCGGGTTATTAGCCAAATTGTGTTATAGGAGCCCTTTCACTTACCTGCTCCGGGAAGCAGAGGGTGACCTGATGAGGCAGAAGTCAGTGGTCCTCCTGGCACGTTACCACTTCCTGGGGAAGGGTCCAGTTCTCAGGCAGAGACAGTTTCCCCTCTGGGACCGTCCAAATCTGGTTCCAGACTCAGATTGCTCCAGAAGGAAGGAAGAGGGTTGCTTTGTATTGGGATTGTCCTAGGAAGAGCCTACACAGAAGCGGGGAAGAAGAGCTGGGAAGAAGACGACATTCTTCTAGGGTTTTCTTCTCCAGTGCCTCCCCAGCTCAGTGCTCTGTGTTTTCTAAAAAAGGTCGGTGGCAGCGCCCCAGACACAGGAGGAGGGGCTCTGGGAGAGGCATTTTCAGTTTCTATTCCCAGAAATGCCCCCAGTTCTCAAAGCAGGGGCGAACCAGTTTCACTTTCTGGATTCCGGAGGATGGGGGCACTGCCGCATCTGTCTGAGGCTTAAGTATGCAGGGTTATTTGAGTATCTTCAGCACAGAGGCCTGAAAGGGGGGAGGGGTGCTCTGTGAGTAGCTCTGCTTTCTCCCCTGACATTCTTCTTCAGATGTCAGTGCCCAGACCAGTGAGAAGTCCACATTCAGCCCCCATGAGGCTGGCCTCGCAGATGTATGCGGACACTGCCTGCAAATTTGCTCCTGGGGTTGCCCAACCTGCTCAGTTCAGGGGCTCACTCGCTCTCACTCTCAAAAATTAGACTGTAGATGCTACATACACAGTGGAGTTCTCTTCTTGACCCCGCTGTGACTTACTTTGTGTCAATGCCCCTGTTTCCACCAGGGGAGGGCCGGAGTCCCAGCACTGCTTACTGCTGACTGGGTGACTCTGGACAGCTGCTTAAGCTCTCAGAGATTGTCGTGTTCTCATTCTCATGTGGGGGAATCTGGGAAAGCTCCCTGGGTGTTTGTGTTCAAGAGACAGGCCCCAGCAAGGGGTGTGTGTGACCTTGACCGAGTGAAAGAGAAGATCAGCTTTACAATGTTTCTGCCAAGATTGCAAATATCCATTACAAGTTAGGAAGTCCTTCTGTGGCTAAGAGAGTGTGAGTTTGGCATTGCCATCCTTGATCCCTCCCCTGGGTCGGAAAAGGACAGCTGATGCTACAAAGAGAAGAACGGCAAGGATTATTTTAGGGAGCCCTGTTGCAAAGGATATTGCCAACACTGAGGGCTTCCTGGGTAGGAGGGTCTGAGGAGCATGAGACGGGGCTGCCCTCCTGTGCCCAATACCACGGAGAAGGTAGAAGCTGGAAAGGTCTGGACTGTGCCTGTCCTGAGATCCCAGTGGGGACATCAGCATGGGCCATCCATGGGCCCTCCTGTCTGAGGGACACTGACCACCTCAGGCCATCCGCTGGATTGCAAATGTCCCACCTGAGTGAATTCTTTCCTACTGTTTAGTTTCCCTACACCATGCTCCTCTGTGTAATGGGGGCAGTGGGGGGAATAAAGAGGAGAGAAGCCGACTCTTTTCCTGTCTCTAGTGCAGGTGCATCACTCAGTTACTGGAGGGACTAAGCCAGGCCTGGGGAAATTTCCATTCTACAAGAGTGGACATTGTATATTACACAGACTGAACTTCTGTCACCTGTGTGGGACCAGGAGAGAGGTTATTTCCTAACCCATCCATTCCTAGAATTGATTTCCCTTTTCTGAACAGAGGTAATGTTACAATATCCTCATAAATCATACTTCTGGATTTCCTAGCGTTGTCTTAGAAGCATCAAGTCCCTCTCTGGACCCTGAGGTGTGCATACCAGAGCATCAGACCCCAGCCCACTGGGTGCTGCAGACACAGCAAACCAGAGTCAACCAAACAGGGCACCAGTGTGATTCTCACACACAGCCCTGCAATGGAGCTACCCCAAGTGGGAGATTTCTGTCACCCACTACAAAGGGCCCTTTCACTGCCAGGTTACCTGAGTCTCAGAGGTATTTGTTTTTTCTTTTTTCTTTTTTATTTTTTTTAATGTTTTATTTATTTCTAGGAGAGAGAGAGAGACAGCGTGAGCAGGGGAAGGTCAGAGAGAGAGGGAGTCACAGACTCTGAAACAGGCTCCAGGCTCTGAGCTGGCAGTCAGCACAGAGCCCGACGCGGGGCTCGAACCCACGAACTGTGAGATCATGATCCAAGCGAAAGTCGGACGCTTAACCGACTAAGCCACCCAGGCGCCCCTCAGAGGTATTTCTTATCTTTCTATTGAGGACTGTAATTTTCTCTCTGTGTGTGTTCATCTACATCCACAGCTAGTTGTCAAGTTCAATTGTGAGCTTGCATCTTTGCCTTGCAGTTCTTCTACCTGGAATTTCAGTCTCTCTTGTCCCCTGCTTCCCCCCTGAATGATTTCTCAGTCTTTCTCCCATCATAGCAATGATTATCTCTCTTTGTCAGACAGAGAATATTTCTCTGTCGACCCCAAAAATGGCGAGGGAGAGAATGACGACTGACTACACATAAAAGAATATGCACAGCAACAATCTGAAAATCACTGAGATATTTCTCTTTTAAGCTCTTTTACTTTCTTGGGTAATATAATGATCACCTACCCACTGAACAATCATCCCAAGTAATAGAACATTTCTAACAACTTATGCCTATCTCTCTGTTCCTATTCACTCCAGTTCTGTTCATAGCCCCCGAAGTAACAATTTCATTAAGTACGTGTTTATGATTCCTTTCTTTTATTGTGGGGTTACCACTTACATATGCATGCCTCAACAATATATGGTTTAGTTTTCCTGAAGCTTTATTTAGGGGGTATTCAACTGGTTCTTCTTTTTGTAAATATTAATTTATTCAGTTTTGAGAGAGAGAGAGAGCAGAAAGAGGGGAGGAGCAGAGGAGAAGAGAGAGAGAGAGAGAGAAAGGGGAAGGGTAAAGAAAGAAGGAGAAAGAGCATCCCAAACAGACCCTGTGCTGTCAGTGCAGAGCCTGGTGCAGGGCTCAATCTCAGGAACTGTGAAATCAAGACCTAAGCCAAAATAAAGTCAGATGTTTAACCGACTGAGCCACCCATGTGCCCCAGTTTTGTGAAGATTTTTAAACTTTCTTTTTGCATTTGTTCTCATGAAGAGAAACTTCATTTTAATGTAGTCAAAGGGATCACATTGGTCAGTCTGTTTTATACAACTATCATTTTGTCATCTTTATAGGTATCATCTTGTGTAAGAAATCTTTTCCTAAGAGTAACTATGATATTCTCATTTCCACTTGAAATTTAGGTCTTAAATGTATCTGGAGTTGATTATCATAAGTGATGAAGGTAGAGATTCACTAACCTCTGTACGGAGAGCTGGTTTGTCAGCTCCACCTGCTAGGTAGTTCCTTCTACTCCGACTGACATCCCCTTGCACTTCTCTCATGCAACAGAATTCCACACATGCCTGAATCCTATCCATGGCTCTGTGTTCCTTTCTATTGGTCAGTTGGTCTATCCCTGTGCCAGCATCCAACTGTCTTATATACTATAGAATTGAAAATAAATGCTATCTGATACAGCAAATCCTCCTATGTTCCTCTTCTTTTAAAGAAAGATTGGTTATTTTCCTCTTGATCTTCCACACAAATCTTAGAATCCAAGCACCTTCCTCCCTCTCTGTGTCTCCTTCCCTGGTATCGAACTAAATTTCCCCAGAGAAACTCCTGGTAGTTTAAGTTGTTCATGACATGTGACTCCTATGACCTGCCAGGGTCATCCGTGCCCAAGTCTGACAACGTGGTGGCTGGCAACAGGGCTAAAAAAATGAAAACAACAACAACAACAACAACAGCAACAACAACAACAACAACAACAGAAGGCAGTGAAGAGTTAGAGTCCCTCTTCTTTCTGATGGGAAATGCTTCTTTCATTAACTGGAAACTTTGGAATCTTGTTCACTGCCTTCCTCTCTATCCTCTGTGCTCTCACAGGAGCCTAGACTAGGGGCCTCACGTTGGAGACTTGTGTCCCATTGCTCCTGGTGTCCCTCTGCCCTCCCTTCACTCCCTGAGCCACCTGAAGTCCCAAGACCTTCATGTTTGTTTACCTGAACTGCTTGTTCTGTGCAGAAACCATGGTTTCAGTTTCATGTTCTGTAAATGTGGTCCTTCAACTATCAGTCAAGTCTTCCCGACAGAGGCGCCCAAGTCAGAGGCTGTCATCCTTCCCACTGTTTCTTGCACTTTACCCAGGCTGTACAGGGGTTCTCCAGCTCCTTGCTCACTGCAGTGACCTCAGGGGCATCCAGTGCCTGCATTTCCCATGGAGGACAGGTCTGTGGAGTGTTTCTGTGTCAGGGGCTCCAGGGAGCACTTCACTAGACTCAGCATTTTCTGTTGTGTTCGTGGAAGCATTTGTGGTCTCTGATATCAGAAACCTTTTTTTCTCTTTGGAGGTGGTGAATGAACAAACTGTGTACATGCAATGATGGGATACTCACTTTGAGCTTGGAGAAGTGAGTGGTCGGGCTGGCCAGTGAAGTGCAAAGATTTCATTAAGCTGCTCATGCCATCCTCTTTGGAGAAGAGAGAAATGTTATCTGAAGATGTCTCTTTTTCTTCTTCTTTTTTAAATGTGAACATTGTAAGAAAATTTGGAAGTAGCTGAATGTTTACTGGGTGACTACAATTGGAAACTATGCCACATTGTAACGCAATTTGGTCATTCATTACTCTCGAGCTATTTTAAAACCGTGCGCTTTCTCTGTTGGGATGAGCACCAGGTGTTGTATGTAAGCAATGAATCATGGGAATCTATCCCTAAATCCAAAATGTATGTTAGGCAACTTGACAATAAATTCAACATAGTACTGGAAGTCCTAGCCTCAGCAGACAACAAAAAATAAATAAAAAGCATAAAAATTTGCAAAGAAAAAGTCAAACTTTCATTCCTTGCAGAGGACATGATATATTATATGGGAAACCCAAAAGACTCCACCAAAAACATGGCTAGAATTAGTACATGACTTCACCAAAATCACAGTTTATACTGTGATCAATGCACAGAAATCGGTTGCATTTCTATACACCAATAATGAAGCACCAGAAAGAGAAATAAAGGAATCGATTCCATTTACAATTGCTCCAAAAATGATAAGATACCTAGGAATAAACATAACCAGAAAGACAAAAGAGCTGAATGCTGAGAACTCTAGGAAGCTTATGAAAGAAATTGAAGTTACAAAGAAATGCAAAAACATTGCTTGCTCATCAATTGTATGAACAAATATTGTTAAAATGTCTTATAGTCCCCAAAACAATCCTTATCAAAATAACACAAGCATTCTTCA